TCACTGCTTCAACGGGGTGAAAGCAACGGGCTGGATTCCCGCTGTAACCACAGATATGTCTTTCTCCTAGATATGCTCTTCCTCTAAATCTATATATTCATTAATTTGATTAGGGCTTTATAAGCTGTTCTTTGTATTGCGCACAAAAGTCTGCATATGAATAATTACCGATTCATCAGGGGGGGGGGGGGGNGGGGGGGGGGTTGGCTGTGCAAACCACGGCACGCGTGACACAATGTGGCACAGCGGAATTTTTAGAGTGACACGCTAAGGCTTATTTAAAAATTATGCAAATTGAAAAAAATAATATCGTTATCTGAAAGAACATTTATTATTCTGTATAAAGTAATTGTTACCCATCTGAAATTCAACTCAAAATTATTGACCTACAACACCATACTAAGCTGAAAAGCAAGTCTAAGGAATTTATTTCAACTGCAAGTGATCCAAATTTTAGAAAATTTAAGAAATTTACACCAATAAGCAGTTTTCTAGTTTTAAACGATTTGGTCATTTAGATATTGTAGGTTTGGATCAAGATATGTTTGGGAACTAATGTTTTCCACTGTGATTCGAATTAAACCACAATATAATTTAAGATAAACTGGTATGTACCCTAAACAGCTATGTTTTGCGTTGTTTTTGTTTGAACTTACGGTAATAAAAATACAAATTTAAAAGGATCATTAATTAAGTATTCCCCATTTAAGAAAATTTTAAAATTAAAAATTTTATACATAATCTAATATTTTATATCCGTCGTTGAACAGCCGACCCAATTTTTGGGTTTACTACTTTTAATGTTCAACTCCGTAGCCTTGTAAATTTGAACCAATCCAGAAGACAAGGAAACTCCTGGATCAGTATCCCCAGAGGTTATGGGAACATGGAGGGCTTTGCGACTCGACAGATTTAAGGTGCATCAGTCACCATTTACTACACGAGTCTTCAGCAGACGAGGATCGAGCCCACGAACTCTTGAACATGGGCCCAACGCCCTACCGACCAGGCTATCCCGGCCCATACATAGCCTAATAAATGTGAACGTTTAAAAACAAAAAAAAATTTTAAACAATAAGCTTTCAATTTTGTTTATCATTATTTTTTTTATATTATTGACGCTAGCGAGTTAATAATTTATTAGAGTATTAAAATTTATAAAATCATTTTAGGCAAGTGATCGGTTTTAGACTATTCACTTTAACTTTTAATTGTAAAAAATAAAACAATGTGAAAGTTTTAAACTAGTGACAAATTTAAAAACAAAATGCAATAACAAAAATAAATTCACACATATGATTTATTATTAAGTGTCAATGGGAAGGAGATATAGCCATTTTTAATTTTATCAAATCTTGACAAAAAAAGTCGACACTGCAAATCTAAAAAATATTCTTTAATATTTTTTAGATTTGATCAAGACTCAGATTTTGTGGAGGCTAAAAGACAAAAATGTGGTCTTATACGATCTTTATCTATTTTAAATGCATTGTATAAAACTATTTGGTAATTTTAAAATAATTATAATATTTTAACGAAATGACAAAATTGCTGAAATGTATGATGACGCCTGCTGCAAGTCTTGCTGCCCTAATCGGGAAACCACAGTTTAGGAAACTCTGTTCAAGGTCAACAATAATTTATATTTTATTTTAAAAGTGATGTTGAACAGCTGACCCAATTTGAGTTTACGATTATCAATGTTCAAATCCCTATCCTTTTAATTTTTAACCCAAACCAAAAGAAGACAGAAGTCTTGATCCTTGTTATTAGATCAAGCATTGGAATAAACTTGCCTTCTTGGAGGTTTTTAATGGTAATGACCCACATTTACGTTGCATGGAGATGAAAACTACGAAAATCTCCCACAGTTAATCCGATGACAAGAGGATTCTGGCACATGATCCGTCTACAATTGAGATATTTTACGTCAGCACTGTGTTCTGTGTGAATCGGGAGCAGGAATTTATTCATCAGGTTAGGATTCGAACCTGGGTGACCAAAATGAGGGCTAATGCTCTATCCTCTGATCCACCGTGGCACGACAATAGCTTAGAGTTGCTAACTTTAGAACAGCTTAGATCGCTTTTTTTTTATCTAAATGGGCTAGCACCTTCAAAATTCCAGGACTGATTTTTAAGCCCCACTCAAGTTCGAACCTAATGCGATTAAACTCTTGTCTTAACACTCACTGTTCTGATAAGCCTTTTAGTACCAACGTTATATTTTGATCGGAATATGGAATCTACTCCATGTACCAGAAATCATTTGATCTAAAATAAACATTAAATGTATCTAAACATACAATGAACATACAGTGTACCATTCAAGAATAATACTTGATATTTATGAAAATGAGAGAAAAACAAAATATAAAAAGGTCGAATATATTTTTAAAATTTTTTTCTTTGGTTAGGAACATTGAAAATTGTATTGGGATTTTACGCTGATTGTTTCTCAATTTATCACGAGTTACACACCGGGGTGGAGTGAACTTCGAAGATGAACGGAGAAAAACATTAGAATAAGTTAAAGTAGAACTTAAGACGATTTATTTAAATGAAAAATTAAGTGGCGTGCACGCTTCAAGCTGCTATTTCCTCATAGAAACGCCCTTCCTTCGAAGTGATTTTTAAATTTCCATATCATTAAGTGAAGCGTTCTAAATGCTGAATATTGAACTATGCTACACCCTAGTAATGTTAAATAATTTAACTTCCTTTTTTGAATGAAAAATATTTTTAACTTGATTCATAGAAGAAAAAAAACTTTTGTATTCGGGATAAATTTAATTTTGGAATCCTTGTTTATTTTTTATTAAACCAAATATGATTAAGTTTTCATAGGAGAAAAGTGGCTTTTTTAAAAAAAAAAGTGGTTCATGTTTATGTTAAATGAATATTTAGTGCAATTTTAGTCTTTGAAATCTCAGGTTCGTCATATACAGCGTGTCGGTTAAGTCATGGTGCACTTTTATCCAATGACCAGCTAAAACTACACCACGACTTTACATAATATGTTAATGTCAATACATGCAATAGGAAGGCCGGGATAGCGTGTTTGGTAGGGCACTGGGCATATGTCCAAGAGTTCGTGGGTTCAATCCCCGTAGGCCGCAGACTCCCCGTGAAGTAAATGGTGACTAATGCACGTTAAATCTGTCGAATCGCAAAGTCCTCCATGTTCCCGTAACAAATCAATACCTTTGGGGTACTGACCCAGGAGTTTCCTTGCCTTCTGGATTGGGTTCAAAATTACAAGGCAACGGAGTTGAACTTTAGTAGTTGTGAACCCAAAATTGGGTAGGCTGTTCAACGACAGTTATAATAATAATAATTATAATACATGCAATAGAGCCGAGGGGGGCTCAGGGTGGTCACCTTCCAATAAGATGAACGGGTTCGAATCCCAGCGATGGCTGGTCGATACGAATTCCGCACTCGGTTCGCACCGACCACAGTGCTGACCTAAAAATATCCTCAGTGGTAAACGGATCATGGGTTAGACTTCCCTCCCACTGTTAGACTTCTTCAGGCTAACAGTGGAGGGTTTTCCTCTCCATGTAAAGCAAATGCGGGTTAATTCCCTCAAAAAGCCCTCCACAATGGCAAATTTCTCCCAATACTTGATCCAGGACCTCCCACTTCCTCTGGATTTTTTTCAAAATTACAAGGTTACGCAGTTGTACATTCTCGTAAACTGAAAATTGGGTCGGCTGTTCATTGACGGTTATAAAATTCATCGTTTATATAGCATATAAGCTTCTTACTACCACAGTTGGGTTCTGTGTACTTCAAGACAAGCATTGCTTTGAAAATAAATGATAATGTTTCATCTTTTTGCATTATCTAGTATTAATGAGTTAGAGTGGGTTAGAGTTCCCTTGCCTCCAGGCCAACCGTGGGAGGTTTTCGTGGTTTTCCTCTCCATGTAACGCGACTGCGATGATATGGATTGCTGAATTAACAGAGGACAGTACCGTCTAAAAATCGGTAAAAGTGCTTGACAATCTTCTTCAAGCCTAGTTGAACACCTCTAGCTGTCATGGAGAAACTTGTAGAAAGTATGCCTCAACGATTTCAATTGCCCCTCGTGATATGAAGAAGACATGTAAATTTCCACCAATATGTCGAAAGAGTTATTGGTCGATGCAGGGCAGATCCCTATTCCAAATTCGATGATTTTCAAAGATTTTTGCGCCAACTTATTTTTTAGGATGCACTTTTGCCAAGGAATATGATATTGAGGAACATTAATTAGTTTTTTTTAGAAAAAATCGTAGTTAACAGATCCACTCAAAGAAATTTTTGTTTGAGGTAGGCAGTGTATTTTGATGGGAAAATATGCTTCGTTTGTCCAAAATAAATGGTGATAAAAAAAATTTTGCTAGCAGTTTTAACCTTAGGAAAAAATAGGCTGTCCACAAAAAGGGAAAAATTAGTTTTTGTAGAGATGATTTTTAAAGACAGGTTAGCTTCTCCAATTATTTTAGATTATTAATTATTTAAAGACTTTTATTCACGTTTTGGTGGAAGATATTTCCTTATGGCAGAGCCGCATTTTTGTAAACTAACAATATTTTAAAACTTTCTTTTTAACTTTATTTTTATTAGTTTTACAACATTTTTTGCTGTAAATATTTTTACCAAGAAAACTTTACCGCTCATTTGGCATATAACAAAATAAATACCTTAAATAAAAGCTGCCAATTTTTAATAAAAATTATTTTTCAAAATAATGGTAGTTTAAGACAAATTTTGCGAATAATAAGTACTTCAGATTGTTAAATTAATTTTGAAACCATGAAAAAAGAATTATTACATCCATTATTCTGAGATTACTCATTTAAAATGAATGAGTAAATTACCCTTCTCCAAAAAAGAGTGAAGACTTGAGTTGAATACACCTTTGTTTGAGTGAAATATTTGTTTTGCGTTAAATCGAACTTGAGTTGAAGATATACTTCGATTAGCGATACTTCAGTTATTTTTGCTCAAATATTACTTTGTGAGTGGCAACATACCAATTCGTAGTGTCAGATGCATCGGAAGCCAAGATGTAGCCAATTTATCGCTATAAGAATTCTCTTGTTTATTAATTAAAGGACTTCTAAGCCAAACTCGTAGATATTCTTCGAGGATGCATGACTCCACTAAAGGGAATAGCATAGCGGCATATTTGTCAGATGTCATGCCAATGGATTCCAACGATCGCAAATGGGATTCTAATTTGTTGTACAATTGTGTAATATCCATCTTATTCTTTAAATTTGTTGCATTTTTAACGACAAGAGCCAAAAGTTCCCGAACATGATATTCAATTAAAAGTTCCTCTCGGCCAAACCTTGATTTAAAACTCTCAATAACTTTGCAATAATTATCGGCCTTCGGCGGGTAACTATCCACTATTTCACGAGCTCTTCCTCCGGCTGTCACGCATTGAATAAGATATTCAAATTTATCTTCATCGTCCATCGAATTATTTTCGAGTATTCTACTGAATTGGCTCCAAAAATACAGCCAATCTTTTACCTCGCCACTGAAATGTACTAGTTCTATTTTCGGAAGCTTTAGTTTCGTTTTTTCATTTTTAACCGAATTATCTTTTTTATCTTTCAGTTCACGAGAATTAAGAATCCTTTTTACACGAACACGCACAAAATCTAACTTTTCTCTGTATTCTTCAATGATACAATATTCTTTTTCAAAATCGTCTGCTTTGGCGACTTCTATCAAAAGGGAGTTACATATATCTTCATCTAATTTCGATAAATCAATAGAAATTCTTTCGAAAGATGATAATTTACTTTCTAAATCTTCAAAATTTAATTCAGTTTTATCGAGAGCCGTAATTAAAATATTATGTAAACGAGTAAAAGAAGCTCTTACCGACTTTCTTTTCACTATGAGCAGATCCATTTAGAATTCCAAACTTGAAAAAATTTCAAATAAGAGTATAAAAATATCTGACTTAAATGTCGATCAAATGGAAACGATCACGTCCGGGTCACCACAATGTCAGATGCATCGTAAAACTCTTACTAATTTTCTATAAACTTTTATAACAATATTTACAAGTTATTAAATGATCCACTTCTATTCTTAATATTCTCCATGAAACATAAACTGATAAACTGTTGCCATTCGAATTCATATAAGTATTAAACTTATGAATAAAATATTACAGAGTATGAACGATGACGTCATTACAAACGTTATTACGTGACACGGTAGACTGTTAAAAGTCGATTCCATTCATTTATTTTTTAATTGTGTATGAGCTATAAGCTAGAATTTGTATCGTTTTATTTTAAAAAGAAAACGATGTGGATTTCAAGTTTCTGTGACGATATAATGGACGTGTTTGTAATCCTGAGATGTGAGGCCCTCAAAAATTGCGCAATCTTCCGAGTTTAATCGGTTGTGGAATTTTACGAACGATTCCGAACAGACAGCTGTCTGCCATTTCTAAACATGCTTGTATTCATAAAATCCGATGAACTTCTTTNTAATTTATTTTAGTTTGTATAAATACAACTGGAGTTGTACCGCCTGCTACAAAAAGTGGCCTAAACCATAACGGACCTACCACCAATTGACGTTTGGAAAATAAGCGTGGTTCAGCCCGTAATTCGTACCAAAAATATCGACATCTGGTCCATCCAAATTAAACCTCTTTTCATCCACATCACATCAATTCGTAACTTTCTTAAATTGTTCTTTGCAAATGCTAAATAAGTATCTTTGTGTAATATTGTAAGCGGAGATTTTCTTTTAATATTTTTAGTTAGTGTTAAGATTGTAATTTAAATAGTTTCTAACCGTGCGGCTGCTGCATGGTAACTGCAATTCATTATTAATTTGTGCAGATGACATCTTATCACGACAAGCAAGTTTCCAGATTCCTCTTTCCTGCCTTGGTGAATTTCTTTTCTTGCCTTTCAATACGCTGCTTACTGCTATAGCTTTCAGGAAATTCTCAATTGGACCTTTATATTTTTCTTGTAATTTGAGAACTGTTCAAGTCCTTTCCTTTAAAAGCTAAAATAAAGCGTTAAATGAGTTCCCTTTGGAATTGTTTTGCGCGTGCAAACTACCAAAATTTGCTTTTATGCAACTAGGATTTGCTTTTTGTACTAGAGTAATCCGCTTTCTCGCACTTTTTATGCCTCACAATGACGTAATTAGTTTCGCCTTTATGCTTTTTTTCAAAGTTGTTTTTCAATGATTATCTCATATTTTTCCGCCATTTAAATAATATGCAGAATAAAAATAAAATTGTCATGCAAAGCAATTAGGCTTTACATTTGCTAGTAAAAAATAAATTTGCATATGCAGCCATAACAGTAATGCTTCATATTTGGCGACTTTTTACTCGGCTTTATACTTTTCTTCAGTACTGTACATTGTTAATACAGTCTATACTATTTATATTACTATCTATTATTAAAGTTGACTGTCTCTAATTTATGAGAAGTTTACATTTGCAAGATTCATCCCTTCAAATCTGTATTGTAAGATGCTTTTATTTGCATTTCATTGCAAATTTATTATTTAAAAAAAAGGAGGGTAATGTAATATTTAAAAAATTAAATCGTATGTTTGTTTGTTTTTAATATTATTACATGTTCTCTTCAATGTATTTCTTATTTTAATTTTCCTTTCAAAGCAAAATTTCAAAAGAACAGCTTTTAAAACAATATTTTTTTTCATAACAGTTAAATTATTAATTTTTTACAATTCATTTTTAAATAAAAGCATATATGCTGAATAAAGATAACTCGACGATTCAATCCATGTTAATTCCGCAACATTGTTTTTTCCTTTCTTTTCTCCGTTTCATTTTGGTAAATTTTAGCTTTCATCTAATCATAAACTTTTACCCTAAACTCTCTACACTACGATTAAATATAGATACTCCATTAAACAGTATAAAACAAAATTAGTTAGAAAAAAAAAGTTCAAATATAGAAGAAGAGGAACAAAAAAAAAAAACATGCTGTCATTTAAACGTTATGCTTCAGTCTAAATTCATTCCACAAGCTAACGCCTATGAAAATGAAAAGACGTGAATTGTGTTAATCCTTCAAAAACGTTCCACAGATTTCAGCCATTCGAATCGCCATTACTTATGCAACTATGTAACGAATGCGTCAGTCGCTGACATCCGCTCTTCAATTGATTCCTATCATCGGATCTGGTGCACGCGCTCCCAGATGACTTTTTCCTCCTGTGCAGAGTAATTGTTCCACCCATCTCATTCATTCTATTTTGCTGGTCATTATTATTCCATCAGTTCTTAATCAGAGACTTTTTTTAGGTTTCGTTTCGGAGGGAAAACAGGAAACACGTTCCGTTTTAATTTAAGGCCTTTTCGAGGAGTCCTTCAACTTTATTACCTGTGCTTCGAAATATTCCAGATAAGATTAATATGTTGGGGTTTTTGTTTGTTTCGTTGGTTTTAATTAAGTAACCTTTTTTTCGGTGTCAATTCGGGAAAAAAGAGTTTCACATAAGGGAAGAATAAAGAAAGATAATTCGTTTTGCTGGGTTCTCAAGATTGAAAGTACTTTCTCTGAGTTCAATTACTTTTGAAATAATGATGCTTTCGGTTTAGAAAAGTTCTTCATCTTATTTTTAATTTCGTTTTAAAATATTTTGAGAAGATTAATGAGTTAGCTATAGTTTGTTTGGTTGGATTTAAATTAAAAAATATCAATTTGGTGTCAGTTGGATTTTTCTAAATAGGAAAAATAAGGATAGTTTGTTATTTAAAGTTATCAAGCAGTTTTATCATTAATACAAAACAGTTCCCAATGTAGAAAAAGTAAAATGAGTGGAATAATTTATAAAAAGTTTTTTAATTTTTTCTTTCGTTTTACTATATGAAAAAAAAGTTTCAAAAAATATCCCAAGAAGTTATATATGTTTAAAAAAAATTTAAAAGCTCTATTGCGTGATTATTAAGTCTTTTACGTTTGTTTAAGCTGCGTATATACAGCTCCTGTTAAAACATTATAAATCAAATTTATTAGTTCAAAAATTAAATAGTTGAGTATAACTAGTACTTTATTCACGAAAAATTTCCCTTAAATAGAGAGAAGATAGATAGCATATTTAGATTTATAATCTGAGCTGAACAGCCGACCCAGTTTTGAGATAACTTCAATTAAAATTCAACTTCGTTGCCTCGTAATTTTGAACTCAATTCAGAAGTCAAGGAAACTCCTGGAACAAGCATTGGAGCAAACTAGCCTTCGTAGAGAATTTTTTAATGGAACTAACTCGTATATGCATTACACGGTGAGGAAAATCACGAAAATCTCCCACGGTTAGCCTGACGAGAAGAGGATTCTAAACTATGATCCGTCTACCACTGAGGATTTTTTAAGTCAGCGCTGTGATCCGTGTGAGCAGGGAGCAGAATTCAAAGCTACCAACCAATGCTGGGATTCGGAACTGGATTACATCATTGGGAGACGAGTACTCTATCGCTGAGCCACAGCAGCTTTAGATAGCATATATTAAACACGAAAAAATAAAAATTAATAACTTTTTCTTCCAAGAAACACTTGGTGTCATTTATTCAAAGTTTTTGCTAGAAACTTCTGTACTAAATTTTATTTAACAGCTAATGATTGATAAATTATTCATTATTTTGTGATAATATTAATTGAACTAACAAAGCACTTTATCTTGTCTTTTTACTCGTTTGCTAATTAAAACTTCCTTAACAAGTTCATCAGTTTAAGATCTTGTTCGAGATTCAATCTTTTTCTAAATAGTACAACAATCAATTTCGAAAACAATCGATATCGAATATTTCTTGAAACAATGAGATTCTCACGATATTTTCGGCATTCTCCTATCGAGGTTCGGAAGCAAAAAAAAGTGACTTAATTAGCTTCGGATTCACAATAAGAAAAAGTGGTAAAGAGCGCGACACCGAATGAAAGGGTACAAGACCCCGGAAACTTCACAGAACATAATTCTTTGTTCGCTCCATCATCCAAGATGTTCGATTAATTGAATAATTATAAGCTGATCGAATCACGCGTGAAGTATTTCGGGACCTGGAGTTAGAGAATAAAATGCTACTTAATTGCCTCATATTCAAACCTTAACAAGCATGTTTGTTGCCATTTGGGCCAGCTGTAAAGATAAAAGATTGGTGGAAAAAAACTAAATAAATAATTGGTACTATCAGTAAGGTATTTGTATCTTTCTTTCATTTAGCGATTTTTATTGAACTCTATCTTAAAGAGACCTTTTTTATCTTAGTTTCCCGCTTTGTAATGGATCATAAACGCAGACCATTAACTGTTAATTTTTATTGATAGGTAGTTCTAACAATTTCAAAGAATTAATGTCGTGTTCGAAAGAAGAGATATTTTTAGCGGATCGTTAAAAAAGATTAAGTCATGGATTATCTGATGTAAGACAAAAAAGAACACCAGTGGCTGTTTTTATGAACCATGACCTAAATAATTATGTAGATAATTTGAACGAATTATATTCACGTAAGAATATAAACAGTGAGATTCTTTGAGAATGTTCTTACTTAAATTCATTTGTTTGTTCAATGCCAAGTGTCAGGAACTTTACGAAGCATTCATAAAATGTCCACAATGAGGTCAGACTGAGACTAAAACTGGAGCAGATGTTTACCTTCATTGAAATTAATAAAATGCCAAAGGTTTAGGTGAAGTTTATCTGCATCCGCGCAGATGTTTTTCGAAATTTAAGAAAAAAGTCAGATAGGTTAACCAGGCAAAACTTTCTTAAGCATAACAACGAAATAACTCATCAAAGAAGTAAATTCGACCTGAAACTGAATGACATTAAATTTTTTCTAATGTTTTTCTCTAAGTATTTTTATTGATGTTCTATTTAAGATGGTTGGATTAATGTTTTTATTT